GGTGAGAGGGAGACCCGCTCTCCCCCATCCCCTCCTCACACACAGAGAACGAGAGATAGGGAGAGAGGGGCTTCTGGCAGCACCTCGGACAGCTCCCGTCAATACGAGGGGAGAGGAGGGAGAAGACCACCGAGCGTTCACGTCCTGTTCTGTTACATAACACACATTCTCTCTCACACACACATACACACACACACACACACACCGGCTGCTATGCGACCTGTTTAATGTGCTTTTATTGTTTTATTGAACTCTTTATGTTTTTATTCATTCAGTAAAACGGATCTGAATCCCTTTGACAGTTTGACCTGGATTCTGAAGAAAAAAACAAAACTCAAAATATTGAATGAAAATAGAACATTCCACAGATAAATCTTTTTTATTTTTTATTTTTTTTTAAGAGTTGTAGAAGGAGCTGAAGGCCGTCCCAGCAGTCTTAGAGGCCGGGGGAGGGTTGAGGTTACACCCTGGTCTTTAACAATCCTTCACAGCATTGTATACAGTGCATAAAGAAGGACAAATGTCCAAGGTCGACGGCCCTTTGATTGTTATGTTGCAGATGTTTAAGTGTAATTTTTTTTTTTTTGGAGCGCAGCCCATTTAGTCACCTACATATAAATGGGCCACATTTTAGGTGGACAGACAGTAACGACCGTGTGTATTTATTCGACTAGCCTTGTTCGGATCAGCCGACGTCGGCCGCATTCCTCAGTCGTACGACTACGAAGCTACGTCCTGATGTAGTCGAGGTCAACGATGTATTTGGGGCCATTCGGTCGGAACTGTGGGTTCAAACCCCACATCGCTTTTCTTGCCCAGTCTTTGGACCGGACCCTGAATGGAACCAAATACTACAAGCCGAACTCATAACTCTTGATCATGATTCAGAGGTCAAAGGTCAGCCAGTGTCATTTGAAACATTCACAGCCTGCTTGGCTTCTCTCTCTCTCTCTGATTCAGAGTTAATTTAAAACCACCCAGTGTCTTTGCTGAGTCAGCTTGTTTTTTCTTCCTTTTTTTTTTTTTAGCTGATTATAATTCTGGAAAGGCAGCTGGAGGGCGGGGACTCCTTCTACCTTCCTCTATGTTTGTTCCCAGACTGTGAAACCAAAGTGTTATTTTTTAAAAAGGACAAAGATTGGTTCAAGAGCTGACTTTTTTATTTCCTCACCCCTTCCTCCCCCAACCTCCCAGGCTGTGATGCTCTTTAGGTAGAGTTTGAGACCCCCAGTTTACCCTGGTGGGGAAACTAGTTGTTGTAATTTATTTGTAGTAATTTAGTGACTGTAGTTATTGTTGATCTAAGTAGTCAAATAAACAAGCCTCCAGTCACTAGGTGGCAGCAACTCATACAGTGGTTTGTACAGATAAGAAAATACACATTATCCGGTTCTCAATGGTATTTCAATTCGGGGGATGGGGAAGGCGTGAAAAAATGTCTGTCCCCTAGGAGGGGGCATCATGGCTTCTGGAGACAAACAAGAAAAAGAAAAAAATATTATTTTGTTTTGGATGCTGCCGCGACGACCTGGAGTATCATCTGAAGGAGGACGTCTGTGTCTGACAACAACACTGTTGTCTGGACAGTGAAGTGACCACCACCGGTGTTCAATGATTCACAGGCGTTAAAAACGCAGAGGCCACGTCCAGCTGATCTGGGAGCAGCACTTTAAAGTATTACTACATAGTACTCGTCAGGTCTTTGAGGTGTTTGTCTTGATCACGTATTTGTTAAGACACTGGATGTTTCAGTCAAACCAGACCTCTCCGACCTGTTGCGACCTGTTCCAGGTCTCTGTCTCGGTGATGATGTCATGCGACATAATTACATGTAATTAATGTTTACTGCAGCAGAGGACTGTGGACAGGTAGCATCATGTCTGAGACGGAGGCACTGGGAGACACAGAGAGACTGAAGTGGGACTAGGGACGGAACATTGGTTGGTTGGATCCTGGTCCTCCTGGGGGGAGATTACAAGTTTGTTTGGTTTCTCTCCAGTCTCCATCTTCCCACATTCTCGATGAGTCCGAGTCTGCTATGAAGGACTCTTAAAGTCCAGAGACAGACAAAAGAAAAGTTGTTGTGATTTTTTTTGGAATTCTTTCCGTAACTTAACCGCCCGTTTCTCCTCTCTCTTCTTCAGGTACACCTATGAGGAGTACAAAGAGACAGCGGACTGGCTGCTGTCCCACGTAGAACAACGTCCTAAGGTGGCCATCATCTGTGGTTCTGGGCTGGGGGGTCTGGCAGACCTGCTGGACAACAAGACGGTCTTCCCTTATGAGAAGATCCCACGATTCCCCACCACCACCGGTACAAAGATCAGAACCAGAACCTCGGTGTCGGCGGACATGTTGGACCGGCCCATAACTGCTGTGTACTGTGTGTGTTCTGTGCAGTACCAGGTCATGCTGGTCAGCTGGTGTTCGGGAGGCTGCAGGGTCAGGAGGTCGTGTGTATGCAGGGACGCTTCCACTTCTACGAGGGCTACGACATACAGACGGTAAAATCCTTCCGCCCGATTGGGACTGTCCAGAAACCTTGGGTTTCTGCGTTTAACCGATCTAAGTGGGCCGCGTAAGATGAATTGCCGGACCAGATTTGGTCCGCGGGCCTTGGGTTGAGAAGCCAAACCTGCAGAAGTGTCATATTGACATTTTGTCTTTTTTAGACCAAGTGTGTCATAAAATAACCTGCGATCTTTGTCCTCACCGACTGTTTAATCAAACACTGAGTCAGGTGCTGATTCTTAAACAGGCGTGGTCAAACCTTTGACTCGTGGGCCACAATGGGGCCTATAATTTGACACGGGGGCCGGGTCAGGTGCAGATAGATGGTGCGTTCATGTGAACTACGGTAAAGGACATGTAAAAGTCAAGCACAAAGGCTTAAATGCTAAAATGCTTTTAGCCTTTTTTTTTTACGCCATCTAATGGGGAAATGTGGGAATTGGAGAGACTAGGCAGACGCTAATAAATTATGATAATATTAATTATTAATATAATTTGGACAAGTATGGCAGGCTGGATTAAAAAGCCAAACAGGCCGTATTTGGGCCCCGGGCCATAGTTTAGCCAACTGTTGTTAATCATCATCAGCTGCAGCTGCTGCAGAAATGTTTGCTCCAAAAAAAAAAAACAAAAAAAAAAACACATGCGTAAGTGGTTCTGACTTGGCACAGAGAGTGTGTGTGGATTGGTCAGACACTGTGAAGGACACTGCGTGACACACACACACACACTCACACACACACACACAGATGACAAAGTTTGAGCCCCAAACAGCACAGAACTGCAAACTCCAGCAGTCCATGAGAAACAGGAGGGGGCGGTGGAGAGCTAACACTTTATTAACGTGGGCCTCACTCCTGATCATTACTGTAAGACTTGGCCCAAACATCTGAGGCGTTTGAGTTCACGTCACTTTTTCAGGAGATGAATCCAGTCATTAAACCTTTTCCAGTTTTCCAGAGAATTTGTTCAGTTTTTGGAAAATCTGCCCCGTTATATCAGAATCAGAAATTAAGTGTTTGGACAATATCGGACATCCCTAGGAAAAAGTGTACGAACCCTGGAATGGTATTAATGTAAAGAAAAGGAAACAATTTTCAGCAAAAATTTGAGAAGTTTTTTTTTAAGTGATTTCCAGCCTTGGATCAATTAAGTTTTATCTATAAAGTAAAGAGAGAGTTAGTCGTAGAACTAGTTTTCTTTTTTTTTTGTGCCTGAAACCTGTTTATTTTAGTTCTTATTGTAATAATATTACAATGTTTAGATTATTCTTAATCATCAAACCCTTCTTTTCTAGACGTCTTAAACATAGATCCATAAATATTTACATTCAGAGGAATTATCCATAAACACGGCACATCTCTAAATTGACTAAATTTATATTTTGGTTTGAGCTAAAATTTTGATCTTTCTAGATCATTTTGGTTTGAGCTAAAAGATTTTATCTTTTTTTTTTTTTTTTTACAAAAGTTTTACGTTATCAAAGCAAAAACATTTTTTTGTTTGTTTTGGGATTTTTTTGCCTCATGATCAACTTTCTGAAACATTCAGTGCCACGAGCCACCCCTCCTC